ACTATGTTAAAAAATGATCTTTAAAGAACACAAAGAAGCAGTAGTTAATTAAAAATATATGATGTGAACTAAAAGACCGATATTTTGTTAAATGTAGGCTGTTATTCCGAATATTTTTCTATTCTATCGAAAAGTGTGGTTTTATACCAACTCTGATTTTAAAAAACTTTCATTATGCTGTAATACTTTAGCATTTATGATGACAATATATTAAATTCTGATTATAGACAAAAACATTTTGTAAAAGCGAATAGAGCTAAACAATTTCATTATATTCTAAAGTAATTGTTTATTTTATTTGACATTTATAATTAAATGTGTAGATATATACATATTTATATTAAGATAGTGATTATTTCCCCTATTCCACTTGTCTTAAATAATTTCCCAGGAATTATTATGTAAGAAATTTTTTGTACAAGAATTACAAAACAGATTGTGTTACGTTCATTGATTTTGGTTGTAGTGTGTGTAAATATATATATTTATTTTTTTTGTTTAAATTGATACAATTTTTGTTTTGTCGGCCTCCATTGTGTGTTTTTTCTTATTTCTTCAGAGTGCTACTTTCTATTTTTTTTTACTTCATAGCGAAGTAATGACATACGGCTAGTAATTATATATATATATATATATATATATATATATATATATATATATATATATATATATATATATATAATACACGTATATAGAACGTGTTAAAAATTCGACGCCTTTTTTTGCTCTTTTCGCTCCCCCTACAACAAAAACCTGGATACAAATACATATATATATATATATATATATATATATATATATATATATATATATATATATATATATATATATATATATATATATATGCATATTGTGTGTTTATGGAATAATTTTCTGAAATCTCACCCCCCACCTCCACTCCATTCTCCTAACACCACTTCCTGCCCTCATCACAGATTGTAGTACTGCTACTCAAGATTGTAGTACTGCTACTCAAGATTGTAGTAGTGCTACTCTAGATTGTAGTACTGCTGCTCTAGATTGTAGTACTGCTGCTCTAGATTGTAGTACTGCTGCTCTAGATTGTAGTACTGCTACTCTAGATTGTAGTACTGCTACTCTAGATTGTAGTACTGCTACTCTAGATTGTAGTACTGCTACTCTAGATTGTAGTACTGCTACTCTAGATTGTAGTACTGCTACTCTAGATTGTAGTACTGCTACTTTAGATTGTAGTACTGCTACTAAAGATTGAACTACTTCAAATATTCCAATCATCAGAAATAATCAGAGCTACCATCTCACACATCAAAGTGAACTCTAGTCGAGGTCTAATTGCAATTAGCCGTTTTGAATAATTATCAGAACGTATTAAATGCTGTGAGCACTAAATGCAGGGGACTGAGGTTTGGTAGAATTGTGAGCACTGAAATAGACAAGGCTCGTGATGTTAGCATGGACTTAGTGCAATTATTTTATAACAGGGGGTGTTCTGGGGTGGGGGAGTGGGAAAGGGAGAGATTTATATAGTGTTGAGGCAGGAATATATACAAACAATATCATTATTTGACAGTTTTGACGACTGTCATTCTACAACTACGTCACCAACCAACAAACCACACCTTGTTGATCTCAGCTATTGGCGCCAGTGTCAGGGACTAAATGTGCGAATCAGTTAATTCCCCTATAATTATTCTATAGTTATAACTAGCCGTCCCGGCCAGGCCCTGCTCTGGCTTCTGTGAAAAACCTTTCTGTTAAAGACCATTACCTGTGTGTTTAGTAATCATCATAAATCCGGCATTGCCCACCCAAACCACAATCAACCAAAACAACAAAACGAAAACATAACGCTAACACAATTACAAATACAAACGAAAACAAAAACCTAACAGCAAACCCAACCACAACCGCAAACACCAATACAAACACAAAGAAAAAACAAAAAAAAAAAGCAAACGAAAACAAAAACCTAACAACAAACCCAACCACAAACACCAATACCAACAAAAAAAACAACGAAAAAGCAAACGAAAACAAACCAAATCCAAACGCAAAACCAACCAAAAACACAAATACAAACCCAAACAAAAAAACACAAACAAAAACGAAAAAAGAAAGAACAAAAACGAACCAAATCAAAACGCAACCAATAACGCAAACCCACCTAAACACAAAGAAAACACTAACGCGAACATAAACGCCCGGGGCGGAATCACCTGTTTTAGCTTAATGAACGACTATAGTACCCCAACTTATTCATAGTCTTTTGCACTCACTTAAACGAACGCGCCTGTTTCAATTTAATGAACAATTTTAATACTCCAAGCTTATCTGTAAAATACCTACAACATTTGCACTTGATCAATCCCCGCTGATTATGTAATTATTTTTTTTTCCCAACACCAAAACAAAGTAATTAAAAAGTAAATTATTTTCCACAAAATGCAATGGTTTTATAAAGGGAAGTAATTTTGTTTTCCTAATTTATCAAAGGGAAGTAAGTGCTATAGGACTAAATAAAGACATAATTAGAATTGTTGTAAAAGATGATATTTTTTTAAAACTTGTGTTGAATGAACATGCCGACAATTATTACTATCATTTGAAAAATGAAAATTATTTCCCAACACTTTCAATAGTAATTTTTTAGCTCATAAATTTAGACAAATGCGCACGATAATTTTCTAACACTTAAATTCATCCAAGACCAACGACAAACATATGCATTACATACAGAACTGAGCTTTATATATTAGACTAGCCGTCCCGGCCAGGCCCTGCTCTGGCTTCTGTGAAAAACCTTTCTGTTAAAGACCATCACCTGTGTGTTTAGTAATCATCATAAACCCGGCATTGCCCACCCAAACCACAACCAACCAAAACAACAAAACGCAAACATAACTCTAACACAATTACAAATACAAACGAAAACAAAAACCTAACAACAAACCCAACCACAACCACCAACACCAATACAAACACAAAAAAAAAAAACAAAAAAGCAAACGAAAACAAAAACCTAACAACAAACCCAACCACAAACACCAATACCAACAACAAAAAAAAAAACGAAAAAGCAAACGAAAACAAACCAAATCCAAACGCAAAACCAACCAAAAACACAAATACAAACCCAAACAAAAAAACACAAACAAAAACGAAAAAAGAAAGAGCAAAAACGAACCAAATCAAAACGCAACCACTAACGCAAACCCACCTAAACACAAAGAAAACACTAACGCGAACATAAACGCCCGGGGCGGAATCACCTGTTTTAGCTTAATGAACGACTATACTATAGTACCCCAACTTATTCATAGTCTTTTGCACTCACTTAAACGAACGCGCCTGTTTCAATTTGATGAACAATTATAATACTCCAAGCTTATCCGTAAAATACCTACAACATTTGCACTTGATCAATCCCCGCTAATTATGTAATTTTTTTTTCCCAACACCAAAACAAAGTAATTAAAAAGTAAATTCTTTTCCACAAAATGCAATGGTTTTATAAAGGGAAGTAATTGTGTTTTCCTAATTTATCAAAGGGAAGTAAGTGCTATAGGACTAAATAAAGACATAATTAGAATTGTTGTAAAAGATGATATTTTTTAAAAACTTGTGTTGAATGAACATGCCGACAATTATTACTATCATTTGAAAAATGAAAATTATTTCCCAACACTTTCAATAGTAATTTTTTAACTCATAAGTTTAGACAAATGCGCACGATAATTGTCTAACACTTAAATCCATCCAAGACCAACGACAAACATATGCGTTACATACAGAACTGAGCTTTATATATTAGATTCTATGAGTTGGTGTAGGTATAGCCAGATTACACCGTGGTTTAGGAATGAGCTAATTATCTCCCCGAAGTACTAGATCTAGCAAGAAAAGAGAACTCGGGACACCCCTCTCACCCTAATGGCAGCGGCAGGTAACTCGTGCTTTCCTATTTGTCAAAACATTTTGTCTGTCCACCGAGATCACGTGATTAAGAACTGACAAGCTCTACTTGAATTGTGCCAGAATTATTTTCTACTATCCCACTCACTGCGGGAAATGTGAAACTGGCAAATGATACGTCTTTAACATGAATGAATTAAATATTTCCCTGCTAATTAAATGGCCCTAAAGTTTCTCTCCCCTCTCCCTCGCTATACCGAGCAACTTTAGATCTCCAGACAAAATACAAACATTCAAATAAACTTCCCACATGCAGGCAGGGTGGGGTGGGGTGGGGGATCTTGGGGAGAAGGAAGCCACAGGTGGGTCAGGTAAAGTGTGAGTACTAACATCGCGAGGTGCAAGTCACGTGCACGTCAGTGCAACTTTCCGAGCAACAGCCAACACACACAAGCACATCAACACATCTAAAGTAGAACTTTTGGTGGGGAACATTGATGACAGAAAGTATATCCAACATCTAAAGTAGAACTTTTGGTGGGGAACATTGATGACAGAAAGTATGAACGTCAAACATCTAAAGTAGAACTTTTGGTGGGGAACATTGATGACAGAAAGTATATCCAACATCTAAAGTAGAACGTTTGGTGGGGAACATTGATGACAGAAAGTGTTTACGTTTGGAGCGTACCACTGTGAACCAACAATAATTTAAATCCCCATGAGGAAGAAAGGTCTCGGTGACCTACGTGACCTTCTTTGATTAGGTCAACAAATACACTTGCTTTGAGCGATCGGGTTTCGCCGATATCGCTATCAGCTGACGGCCGATATTTTCACCAAATGTCAAAGTGTTCACAATCAGGTGGATATAAGAGCGAGCGGTATGGTAGGAATACACACATGTATACCCGTATCAGGTTTGTACATACATTACATATAGTATACAATATATATATATATATATATATATATATATATATATATATATATATATATATATACAAATATGTATAATCCCATAAACGCGTATGTATGTAAATATATATTTATGTGTGTTTGTATGACTATATGTGTAAAGGTGACTAAGTTGACCGAGTTCTTACCTTGACGAGCTGTACATACAGTCTTGTGTACCCCTGCAGGCTAGGTGGTGTATTCAAACACTAAAACAATGAGTTATCCACTTCGTGAAGCCATCCAGTACTCGTGTTGTTATCCACGCTTATATTATCCACTCGGATTTAGACAGCATCCACTTAAAAGTTGATAAAAGTTAATCAGCAGCGTTGAGTGGGCTGGCAAACTGGCGACAAACGGTGGCTGTCGGTGACTTCAGCGGCTGTCACTGACTGCGCGGCGAGCGGTGATGGCGTGGTGGCACCGTGTGAGTGCCAGGCTAACCTGCCGCAGTTCCAGCCGCCACCCTCACGGGCTGACCTTTGCCCGGGGGTAGCAGGCCGTCGTCTGCTCGTGTACACCGGGCGCTAACAGGGCGCAGACGATCTTCCGTTTCACATTTCGGCACCATCAATTGTGTTTCTTACTGCTACAGTTACTTCCTGACATTGTATGTGACGTCACTAGGTTCTTGGGATGGCGGGCGGGGAGAAATTCTGTGTGGCCTCTGTGTGGTCTGTGTGGTCTGTGTGAAGTGTGTGTGAATTGTGTGTGAGATGTTAAGCCATGAGCTTAGTGTATCACAAGGTAGTTTATAGAGTTATGACGCTTGTCTATCTAAGGTATTTTATAGTTATACCTTTGTTGATTAAAACAAGGTATGTCTTAGCAATGCATACCCTAGTTTACACAAAGCTGGTGATCTATAGCTCTGTAGACTACTAGATTGTTGACGAGATCCTTCCTACACATCTTATTTTAGCTCCTTACTATCCAACGGTTACGACACATTATTGACATAACGACACACCAACGACACACCAATGACGAACAGACACATGACTGTCACATGACTAACACAACACTAACCAATCAGTGAACTCGGGTGCTCAATTGACAATGGGAAACCCCACGCAAGACACATCATGTTTTTATCAGTTCCTTAATTCATTTCTATTTGTTTTCTCAAGAAAACTTGAGAATGGGGGGACTTCAACTCATTGAGCTAGATTCACCTTGAGAGGGCAGGAAAAGATTAGCTCATTGAGCTAGATTCACCTTTGACCCCTCATTGCTTGACGATAAAACATGTGGTCCTGAAGTTGACCACGTTGTTTTGATAAAGCTACTGTATGCTGACGTCACACAAACCTCTTACCAAGCAGGACACTTAAAACCGACCAGCCCCACCCACACCTAAAGCCGTGAACACAACTAGCCCCACCCACACATGACTTATGTGTGGTGTGTGGCTGTATTCCCTTGTCTGTTGTACGTGGCTGTGTTCCCTTGTATGTTGTATGTGGCTGTGTTCCCTTGTATGTTGTATGTGGCTGTGTTCCCTTGTCTGTGGCTGTATTCCCTTGTCTGTTGTATGTGACTGTATTCCCTTGTCTGTTGTATGTGACTGTATTCCCTTGTCTGTTGTATGTGGCTGTATTCCCTTGTCTGTGGCTGTATTCCCTTGTCTGTTGTATGTGGCTGTGTTCCCTTGTATGTTGTATGTGGCTGTGTTCCCTTGTCTGTGGCTGTATTCCCTTGTCTGTTGTATGTGGCTGTATTCCCTTGTCTGTGGTATGTGGCTGTATTCCCTTGTCTGTTGTATGTGACTGTATTCCCTTGTCTGTTGTATGTGGCTGTATTCCCATGTCTGTAGTATGTGGCTGTATTCCCTTGTCTGTGGTATGTGACTGTATTCCCTTGTCTGTTGTATGTGGCTGTATTCCCTTGTCTGTTGTATGTGGCTGTATTCCCTTGTATGTGGCTGTATTCCCTTGTCTGTGGCTGTATTCCCTTGTCTGATGTATGTGGCTGTATTCCCTTGTCTGTAGTATGTGGCTGTATTCCCTTGTCTGTGGTATGTGGCTGTATTCCCTTGTCTGTTGTATGTGACTGTATTCCCTTGTCTGTTGTATGTGGCTGTATTCCCTTGTCTGTGGTATGTGGCTGTATTCCCTTGTCTGTTGTATGTGACTGTATTCCCTTGTCTGTTGTATGTGGCTGTATTCCCTTGTCTGTTGTATGTGGCTGTATTCCCTTGTCTGTTGTATGTGGCTGTATTCCCTTGTCTGTTGTATGTGGCTGTATTCCCTTGTATGTGGCTGTATTCCCTTGTCTGTGGCTGTATTCCCTTGTCTGTTGTGTTCTGGCTGTATTCCCTTGTATGTGTTATGTGGCTGTATTTCCTTGTCTGTTGTATGTAACTGTATTCCCTTGTCTGTTGTATGTGGCTGTATTCCCTTGTCTGTGGTGTGTATTTGTATTCCCTTGTCTGCTGTATGTGGCTGTGTTCCCTTGTATGTGGTATGTGGCTGTATTCCGTTGTATGTGTTATGTGGCTGTATTCTCTTGTATGTGGCTGTAGTCCATTGTCTGTGGTATGTGCAGAGTTTCTTTCAGGCATCTCTCCACCCCCCCCTCCCCCAAGAAAGTGCCCCCCCCCCCGAACGAAATGGAATTTATGTAGAGAATATAAATAATATACTTTTATATACTGTAGCAGTAATCTGTCTGTAGTAGGTCAAGCATCCGGTCAACATCTCCGGTGTCTGGCGAACTTTCTAGAACTATCAGCAGAAAGAGCCAACAGAACCTACCCAGTTAGAAACTAAAGCTACTGATGCAAGTGTTGGTGGGAGAATGACGCCGCTGTAACCAGCGACCAACAAACACCAGCGTCTTGTTTAGAATCCAGGTTAAACGTTCTATTGTAGGACACGCGAGCTAGTGGCGCCACGTTCGGGTGTCGGCCTTCATAGTCTCCACATATCAGGGCAAGTAACACAGTGAGTACAAAAATAAACCAAGCATTGTCGAATATTTGGGTGGAGCGTCGTTGTTGCCATGGTAACAGTAGTCGATGGAATGCTGGGACTGCTCACGCTATGCCGTGCCAGTAACATCCGGGTTCCTGTCACATCACGTGATCCTGTTGACACCCATGGCATGTGACAATTAAAGATGAGATTCCCCACGTGACCCTGTCAGCGCCTGGTGCCCACGTGACCCTGGTGCCCTACTTGGTGCCCGAGCTTCTGGCAGCAAGAATTCCATTCATGTCCCCAAAGCTGGGCCAACTACACGTGATCACGTGGTACCCAATCAACGGCCAGAGCATATGTCAATGTAATCATCTCTTACACACAGTGTAATCATCTCTTACACCAATGTAATAATTTCTGACACCCAAGGGCGAAAATTGGAGGGGAGGGGGCGGTTACGGGGTCCACAGTTCTTTGGTGTAAAGTTGTTAGGTCTGGTGACGTCACAAAATGCAACCGTAATTGGTACTAATTAGCGGACGCTCAGATTTGTACGGGTAATTTTAAAGATTCGCTTTATGATTAGACTTTCGTAGCTGGGTCATACAATCACGATAACTGTAGGGTGTTGAGTCCATTGGTGGTTGTACGATAACTGTAGGGTGTTGAGTCCATTGGCGAACACTCGCGTTACAAAATATATGGACTTGGATGGTTGGGTAGTGGATTACAGAAGGCTCGTATAAGAAGGGGCATCATCGTTACACAGGTGATATGGCCATTACACAGGTAACATGTCAACACACAGGTGATATGGGCATTATACAGGTAACATCGTTACTGCATAGGTGACATGACCATAACATACAGGTGTCCAACACACCTGTAACATGACCATTACATACAGATGGCCAACATACCTGTAACATGACCATTACATACAGGTAGCCAACACACCTGTAATATGACCATTACACACAGATGGCCAACACACCTGTAATATGACCATTACACTTGTATTATGACCGGCTCAGATTGCATCATGGGAAGGCTGTACTAAAAACGTAGAACTTGGATAACAAACACGTACCTGTGACGGCCTGTGTAGGGTGGCCGAACCGTATCTCGGGCCAAAATAAATGTCATCATCAGAGGAAACTTAGGTAAACAAATATCTGGCCACCCATTCAGCAAACTTTGGCCTAGTATTACACCCGATCAGGGCCCTGTTATATAAAAATATCCCCCACCAATTCAACGATATAACGTTGACATATCGATGTGAGGTCGGATTTGTAATTTGTAAAAATCATATTGGGCATTTATTATTAACAAAATTTTTAATCTAACCCTAACATTACGCTATCGTATCCAAGAATTCGCCAATTTTGAACCAACCAAAGAGATAACCAATTGAACCAACCAAAAAGATCACCAATTGAACCAACCAAAAAGATCACTAATTGAACTAACCAAAGAGATCACCAATTGAACCAACCAAAGAGATCACCAATTGAACCAACCAAAAAGATCACTTTTTTTGTTTCAATAATTTTACGGTTCAATTTTACGATAAAAAATCTTTATATAATTTTACGATGACAAATCTTTATATAATTTTACGAAAAAAAAAACAACTTTATAAAATATATAAATAAACCAATAATACAACTTTGACCCCACCCCTGAAAAGTTCCTGTCTACGCCACTGCCAAAATACGCCCTACTTTAACCCCCCCCCCCCCCGACTTATGAAGTATTTTAACCTCAGTTTTTTATCTACCTTTCAACAGTAGCAGCCTGACGCGTGACGCCATCTCGACACATCTGACTAACGCGTCACGTGACCATTCCACGTGACACGCTGGGCGAGTACAGGCGCTAGAGAAATCTGTTTATTGCTGGCCTCTGGTGGCGTTTATTTAACAGTAATCTCCCCTGGCCTACAAACTTCATTCATGCTTATCTCCCCTGCTTTTCAGGTCAACAGCGCTGGATTGTTGTGCTCAAGGCCTCCAGATAGTTCAGATGGTAAATAAATACTCAACGTGCCGTGTATACATGTAAACAAACACACCAACTCACGCACACACGCACACAAGCACACACGCACACACACACACACGCACGGATGTACGGAAATAAAATAAATGTGAGGAACAACACTATTTATTTTCTTTATTTACGTGTGTAAAGGTATGGATGTAAGCCAATGTTAACCTCAGGAGCTTAAAGCCAACTGTCAAGTTTTTAGTGTAAAACTTGGATTAGTGATGAGTTATTTTAAGCAGATATCTGGTGTAAAAATTGTTAGAAGCGTGTATACTGTATACGAACTGTTAGTGTCCCTGGGCACAGCAGCGTTTGATTCTTACCTGCAAATATGACATCATCAAATGACCCAAGGGACACCACCACGTTCCTAACACTAAGGGGAATTAACTAATAATCTAATTTTTCACAAAGCTAAACTGCTAGAAAAAAACAACAACATGCGAACACAAAATGCAACCAAAGGTAATTAATAAAATGTTTTCTACCTTCTATGAATAATTGACAACATAAATTAATGATGCAATTATTTTAACCCTGCCTTTTTAAGGTACGCCCGTACTTCACAGTACTAATTAGCTGTCAATTAGGCTAATTAAGGTGCAGTCAATTTTTAGTAATGAACGTCAGCACTCCACAAAAGTGCAGCAAAATCATACACAACCACCT